CCTATTCAGTTGATAACAACACGCAAAATTACCAATTTTACCAATTACCAATCAGAAAAAACCGGAATCACTGCCATCTTGACTGAAGTCAGACCTGTGTAATTTAAACCCATTGTTCATCACCCTCGTTCAAAGTTGTTTTAAAGGAAACTTATTTTGGTAAAGGGGTCACTGAAGTTTTTTTTCTATTATTTTTATCATTTAGAGAAGGAAATTGAAATACGGAAAGTTATTTCTTGGTTAGGACTCTTGTATGACACCCGACCTGGATACTGCTAAAATCAGCAATGACGAAATACTTTTGTGCAATTAGAATATGAAAGATGATGAATTTTCGGCTTGGTAATGAAATAGAGGAATGAAGTTCTCAAGGAAAGAAAAAAAAGGCTTTGACACGGCTCATCCTAACAGTGCGCAGGACGGCTGCTATATATGAACGCAATGAGTCTGTGGCTCATCGGTAGAGTGTTGGAACTCCGAGTCAGAAAGTTTGAGATTCGATTCCTGTTTAGTAACCTGAATGTTTTTTTCAAAATTAAATTAATTGTTTTTCTTGGCGCATACAGCTCGAAGAAATGCGATACTCTAAAGCATACAAGCACGAAGAGCCGATTAGACAAAAGACGCCAGTAGATTATTATCGTACCGCCGATGAATATGGTGGACACACTGCCTCTTCTTACGATTATTACCGTACTCCAGAAAAGGTAATACCACTTCATTCCTCATTCTTACAACCTGGAATCTCGACCCAGATGGTCTACCGAGAATCACCTGAATTAAAGGCCTTTCATTTTGTGGTAGAATATCCTCGTAATAATTTATACATCCCAATCTAAACCCGGTGGTTACCTACCAACACCAACACCAGAAGATTTTGCGGTGACAAAATTATAACGATTACCGGTCTCGCAGGTATCCTTATTGAAAATCAATACCTCCTCGCGGTGCCCAAAACGCGGACTGCAAAGTCACTAGCAATTATGATAAGCTATTTTTTTACACTTGTCTTGACATGATCGACCCACCAAGCTCAGCGAGCAATGTTTATTCCAATTCAAAATTATGCGCTGCCCACACATAAGCTTACATTCCCAAAGATAAAGGCTTTTCGCTCGGACTATGAACTTTTTTTCGAGTCTGTCGCTTCCTTTCTCAGATAAAGATGGGTTTTGTTTAAAAAGAAGGGGGCAAGTGAGACTTCAAAGCTTTTGGGAAGAAATTCAAAGTGTGCCCTCCTCTATTTTATCGATGAACTACTTATTGAGAGATATAGGGAGCAATGGTTATCTGAATATTGGACGGTCGTTGGTGCTTCACGAGCTTAGCATTTGTAGTGTTAGACAAAAAGGCGCTCCTTTAGCACGACTCACTGCGTTTATTCTATTCCTAGGGAGCTCGGG